ATTGTAAATGAATTTTTGTACAAATTTATTTGAAATCTTATTTAGTGTGAATGTGAAAACTTAGTGTTGTTTGTGATCAAGAAATATTATGTTCGTTAAACGAGGTTCCACTGTACTTCAAATTTTAATTTAAAACGATAATTGTATAAACTACAGCAATTAGACTAAATCTCATTCATCCAGATGATTCTATAGTGCAGATCAGAAATGTGGTAGTTATCGAACTTTTTTTCAAGTCGATAAGAATTCTGTAATTCTCTGTGAGAAGAAACGATTCTGTTTACTAAAGCAACTTGACAACCTATTTGAATAAATAGTTAATGTCATTTAGTTTTGTCGCATTCTATGAGAGGGCTCCATCGATCGCGAATCGGATGTTCGAAAAATATAAACAAAACAAAAATTAGTTTATATGTAACTAAAACTATAACCAGAGGGTGTGTATAAAGTTACGTATTTATGTTTATTTTTTGTAGTGGAAGGATTTGTAGAACTCATAGAAACATTATTTTTTTAATTATTTGTAAAGTTAAAAAACAGTTAAAATCTTTTTTATATGTAACTCGTTTGCCATGAGCCGATGCAGGTGTGCCACTGTCAAATGAGATGATATTCTAACTAAATGATTTTTTGAATCCGATTATACAATTTAAACATTGTTGCATAATTCATCGAGAAGCATTGATGGCCCAGAATTTGCCAGAGGAATATGATAAATGATTGCATTAAAATCATAAACATAATCGAATATTTGGAATACTCTGTGCAGAAATGGAAGCCGAATTAATTAAGTTGACAATTTCCAATAATCAGGACGTGAAATTGAAATGTAGCAACTATTTTTTGGAAGTATAACATTTTGGCATTTGAATCTTTGTTTTTGATTAAGCATTGACGTTAATTGTGCAGAGGCGCTACGACACGACACAATATAGGGGTTAAGATTTTGACAGCTTACGTCATAGCTGTCAAAATCTTAACTGTAAAGGTTAAAAATATTGTATTTTTGTATTTGTTGTATTTTTTTATGTTTTCTTCTTCAATTAATGACAGACATGGATTTAAATTTGTTTATTTATTTTCAATACATACATTCACCAACATAAATATACGTTATTAATGAAGATACCCTTCAATTGTATTCATTACATTCGCAAAGCCAACATGATGATTTTCTCGATTTCTTCGATTCTGTCCTCCAGCTTCTTCATCGAAACGTGCGTAGATGCCAAGTGCTTGCGAAACTTGCAGATTCTGATGATGTCCTCCCTCTCCGCCTTGGTCCTGTTCGGGAAATCGCGAGCGATGAACTTCATCAAGAACTTCGAGGTGACGTGATCCGTGTACGCGTAGAATTTCATTATGTCCCTACTCAGTTGATGACCCATTTGGAAGAATTCCTCGGCGGTGTGATTATTTTCAGGGGCGTCTTTCACAGTCATCTCCACCGTGACCCTCCAATGATTCCACTCGCGCCATAAGGGTTTCTCCCTGTTCATGTTGTACAAGGTTTTCGATATATTCATAAACTCTCGGAGATGAACGCTGTGATCGTTGTTTGCGATATAAAAGCATTTCTCGATCGTTTCTTGACACTGCGAATACAATCCTTTGACTATTTGGCTTGTCATTTTCGAGCTTAAATAATAATTTAATGCGTTGAGCTTGAACGTGTAGTGTAACCTTACTAAAGCTGCTCTCGCTTCGAACTGATGCCTTGACAATGCCTACGCCTATGCAGAGTTACAACCTTTTTTTCGAAGGGTCAGAGATTCGTGCTGAAATAAGTACTGGCAATTCTTGGAATTTCGACCCTTCGTAACAATAAAACGGTCACTTTTATTTGAGCTTGAAATATTCCAACGTTTTTGGAAATATTTGACATATTTTCAGTTTGTTCATTTATTCTAACTAATCAATTAGTTTAAACAAAGCTGATATATTTTTTTTCGCGAAATTAACATTACTGTATTACGCCAATTCTTCGATGGTAATTTTGGAACGTTGAAGGCACGGATAATTGAAAAACACTGTTAATTTATATTATACAAAAACATTGTTCAAGATGATCTGTATTTTTTTTATTGTTTTTCTTGTAAAATTATTTTCTAAACAGCAATTTGTACTGGTCGGCAAATTGCGACTCTTTTGCCCCTTGAATGCGGCTCTGCTAAAAATAACCACTTTTGTTTCTATTTAAAAAAAAAACAAAAGTAATCACTAGATACTTGTTTGTCAGTACATCATTCATTAAGAAGCGCAGACATTTCCGGATGAAATTTGCAAATTTATGAAATTGGTGATCAAGATTATCAAATTCATTATAGCTAAAGCTCTTAATTTAAAGTTAAATTTTAGTTGAAATCGTTATAAAAAAGGAAACGTTTTAATACGCTTTCCTTATTAACATACATTTTATTTGCTTATAGATTTGATGTTAGAGAAAGTTATTTCATTCGAAAACAAATTATCACATTTTTCTTCAGTTTTTGAAAAATAATCTTGCTGAAACATTGCCAAAGAAAATAATTGTGATATTAACAATTACTGTTTGAAAACAGGAATGCTCTTTTCAACTGGTTTCATCATGAATTCAGAGACTGTTTTCTTCGTTTTATGTTGAAATTGGCAACTGGAATAGTCTCATTAACACCTCATATGATCAGTTAAAAACACTAGCGTTTACTGATATTTCCTTTTGTATTTATATTCATGCGAACAATCTTTCTCAAACATGAAATGTAAATTGAGAAGTCGTCTTATTGATGAGAACGTGACGAGAATTATGCTTAAAATTAAAGACAACATATAAACCTGACTTACTCAAACTTTACAAGGAGATTTGTAAATGATCATTGTCATGATTTACTTTTATCAATAGATGAGATCATTATTATTTATCAATCAATCTTAATTTACCACGGTTAATCGACGTTTTACTGTACTTTCTTCATTCCTTGTTTCAAGTAACTTTTTTTTTCCATAACTTAAGTACATTTCTATATAACAACAAAGATGTAACATTTTTGTGGTACTTTATTTCTTTTGAATACCTTTTGTAAATTAAAAAAAAAATGCTGAAATATTCTCAAATGCAAATACAAGCAACATTTTATATATTAATCAGTATATATTGTAAATATATAAAATAATTAAATGAATTTTTCTACAAATTTATTTGAAATCTTATTTAGTGTGAATGTGAGAACTTAGTGTTTTTTATGATCAATAAATATTATGCTCGTTAAGCGAGGTTCCACTGTACTTCAAATTTTAATTTAAAACGAAAATTTTATAAACTACAGCAATTAGACTAAATCTCATTCATCCAGATGATTCCATAGTGCAGATCAATAATGTGGTAGTTATCGAACTTTTTTTCAAGTCGATAAGAATTCTGTAACTCTGTGACAAGAAACGATTCTGTTTACTGAAGCAACTTGAAAACCAATACATAGTTAATGTCATTTAGTTCCGTCGCATTCCACGAGAGGGCTCCATCGATCTCGAATCGAATGTTCAAAAAAATACAAATATAAACAAAACAAAAAAAATCTCATGAGTCAATTTGCTATAAATTTCTTAATATAATAGAATCACGGGAATGTTCAATTTCCGGAGCTTTTGTGCGTATTTTTTACCAAAATTATCGCGTGTGTTCGTACGAAAACATCGAATAAGTAAGTGATTCTGTACCACATGGGTAAGATATAATTGTTTCTCTATTTATGTATAGATGGCGCTGTATGTCACAAATGATTTAAAATTGCAAATGGCTGCATCTCTTTGTTTCTCATTAAATATTTAAGATATTTTTGTTTCATTTGCAAGAAATTTGTTTATTAAATTAGTTTAATTGAGGTGAGGATGAGGAATATTTTGTTGGGATGTAGAATTAAAACTTGTAGCTGTTAAAATAAATAAATATACTTTAATTCCAGTTATAGTACAATATTTATGTTTCATAGGGTAATTCTATTTAAAACAATAGATTTATCATGAAACGAAACGAACTAAACAAAATTTGCTCATTCAAATATCTCTCTCTCTCGCTTTTGATAAAATAATTTAAACTTCATATAATAAAATATATGCATATCAATTCTATCACGAACCTAAAGATCTCTAAATTAAGAAGACACAGAAAACATAAATAATATACAAATTGTTGTGGTCTATATGTACAGGGAAAAACGTTAATACTAAATATATATATTACTCTGATGTGATATTTATGTACAGGGCGAAGGAAGAAAGCGGTGGCAAGTGGGCATCACGCGTAGCTGACGTCTTGAAGGGTTCTGCTGAACGTGAACTTGACTTTGCTCAGATTGGAATCAGAGTTGATGAACCTTTTGCGACCGCCGCACCCCGGCTCATCGTCCAACTTCGTCTCGAAGTACTTGCACATCTCCCGAACGCCGGCGGTGGAGAAGCAGTAGGTGAGGTCGTGCATGGATCGCGCCCTCTTGGTGCCGACGTCCACCTTGAACGAGACATCCTCGGTGCTGTTGACCCGCCCTATCCGACACAGACTCTCGAACAGTGCGAGCTTCTCCTTGACGGGAACATAGTTCTCGGTGCTCTGACACCTTTGCAGGAGAACGTCAACGGCTGGGCTAGGTTTGGCATTGGGTGGTTGCAAAAGATTTCTGTTAATCACTGTTGTGTTTCTGTTGCAGTCCGATGGTTCGTTCGGCGGTGGACAAATTATACAACTTGGAGTTGGCGGTGGCGATTCCAGAGGATGGTTGGACTTTCTCTTCTCCGAGTTTTCCGTTAAGGTGAAAATGTCCAAATACCTGACCGACTCCAAGGGCGTCTGTCGGATCACCTCTATGGCCACAGTCTTCACCCACAGATCGAAAGAACGCTCGTTCGAAGTCTGCAACAATAAGATACAGGTAAAGATATATAAACATGGAACATATAGAAGTAGATTTCGCAAGAAACTGTTGTGTTTGTTGTTGTTGCAGTTGTTGTTGTCCTTGCATCAGGCATGCGGGAGGAATGCGCCTTTTGTAGGATGCTCAACGGTTGCGCAAGAAGCGATTTAAACATCATCACCATAATCTTCCGATTTAGCAAATCACCACGGAGAGAAGCGGTAAAAGTTGTGGGAGGTGGAGGAGGATGAGCTGCAGGAAATATTTATCGAAAGAGAGACAAAGAGTAGATGCATAGAAATGAAGCAGGAATGAATATCGCAATCGCTAATTTGAATAATGAGCGCGAATCGAGGAGATTATTGATAGATTTGAAAGGTTAGTGTGCACGAGGGATAGTCTTGATAGTCAATGGTTCTTGCAGTAGAAAAACCTAAATGATGATTGTCTTGTTTGCTTCTTTTAATTAATAACCATTGTGCGGTCATAACAAAGGGGAAATCGTAATCAACGCGAATCGTGGATCGGAGATTATCTTAAGTGCCAGAGATGACACTTTAAAGAGTTTTTTTAAATTTACATTCATACATGTTAAGCAACATTTCCCAACCATTCATGCATTGAATTTCCATTACTTTAAAGCAGCAAGCAGATGCCACCTCACGATTCTTTTATTCTGAACTTGTTTCTTAGATTTATAATCCGTTTCTACTGTCAATGTTATCAAACAATTATGCATATGAAATCTGTCAATATCTTGATTGATTATTTACCTGTAAAGTGAGCAATACGGTTTTCCCTTTAACAAGGGACAAACTGTTTGGCAAAGGTCCAGCCTGCAGACTGAGTTGCCTAAGCGGGATGCGCAATGCCGAGGACAGTTCTCCTGGACATCCTGCAAGGATCAGCTGTCCTCCTCGAACCGTGACCCTCCGCTGATACCAGCGCATCTCGCCGCCAACGAGAACCATCAGTTCACCTGCAAAAACAAAACAAATAAACTATTAGCCAACGCGCAAACACCACAATTAGAGCTTAACAATATGGCACAATTCATTAGAATTGCGAGCCGGAACCCGTGTCCGGATTTATTAGTTATTTATTAGTTTCGTAAATACCATAGCGATATTAAGGTCACGTTGCGAAAACGAATTTGGGAATCTTCGTTACTTTACGTTTTGGGCCATCACCACGCAAATATTCGTTGGCCTTTCCCCTCACAGAAGGTTTTTTTTTCATGAATCTATCATCGGTGCGCTAAGATCTTGTGCCAATAACGGATTTGGCCCACGTTCGCTAAAGATGAGAGCAAATTCAATGAGATTTTAACGAAAAAGTCTCGATGTGAGGTGTGTGTGTGAAGTGATGTGAGAGAAACGATGCAAATTGTCGTAGCACACAGATAAATTACCGTGCCTTTTATGTAAAGTAATATTAATTGGAAAACACAATCATTACACGCTTCTTTTACCATCGGCTGGATGCTAATTTCGAATCGACTCGAAACTAGTCCATTAATTGTTCGTATTCATAACCATGCAAATCGATTCGCCTCTGCGTATATTTGAGAAACGATTCAGTAAAATCGAGCAATCGAATCGTAATGCTGTGACCCAATTTCGAACATTCTTAATCTAATTATCTTCAGCGAATTCAACATTTTTTCACAAATTCAAATCGAATCAACTGAAAAATATATATATGTAATTATTATAGCGAAATTGTAATCTCAAAACTTGTGCTATTTCCATTAAAAATAAACTCAATGGATGATAATCAAGAGTTGTATACATGTTTCATTGGATAAGTATGTCAGATTTGTTTATCTAATATTAGCAGATTCTCACATTGTAAACATATATCGGCAATTAGACAACTTTAATATGTTATATACTCAATTCAATGATAACGAAATAGAAGCAAACGTACAAGGGTTGCGCATATGATTTGAACGAAGATAAGTTAATCTGAGAGATGTGTGTGTGCGTATGTATTTAGCAAATTGTAGACTTAAACCAGTTAACGTTTCCAAACAGATCCAATTAGCGCAGTTACTAAGAGATACTAATAAATATGGATTTAATAAATTGGAAAACGGTGCGAGAGTAGAAACGGATACGGGAGGCGGCGAGATTGGTTGGATGTGACACAAAACTGGGGAAAGATTTGCATTGGCGATTTGCTATCGTGTATCTGGAGCAAATTAGAAAACGCACGTGGAGAGCTCGAGCGAGAGAAGGCATTCTGATGATGTTGTGTGTTGTTGTTTATCTTTTACTTCTTCGCGCAATGCGTCTTCATTATATTTTTGTTTCTGTGCAGCAATCCAATTGATCTTTAATTGCCACTTCATAACGTCGCACTTTCGATTGGCGGATTGCGCAATTTGCATATGTCGACGCCGATTCAATGCAAACTACTTGTGTAGCTCTAATAACGTGAATGGGAGCTGCTGCAATTAGTTTTCCGGAAAAACCGTTTCATTCGTTTCTAAATTGCAATTATCTTTCATATTTTGTATTGTTTTTTTACAACAAAAAAAAGAATACAGTAAAGTCAAAGTGACATTGACGTTTTAGAAAATTGCGAAGGGGTGTTAACACAGCGATAATAGTTTCCAACGAAGAGATGGAAACGTTCGAACGCAAACTTCATAATTAAATTTTTAATGTTAGTTTAGGACGGATGGCTTGTTTGCGAACGAAAGGAAAAATAACGGCACGGCTTATATAAATAAGTACCAGATTTGAAAATCAGCTTTCATTATGTCAATTTGATTCTTGTATTGCGTTGAGGCGAACGAATTGTTATAAATTTCAGTTTGTTATCAAGTTTCATAACATTGACGTTTATCTGTCATTGTAAATTTTGGGTAATTCAAAAACTTCATTTTCTTATATTTATTACGTTTAGTGTCAAATTCTATAAGTTTGACGTTTATCTATCATAATATAGTATTGATGTTTTTTTATTACGTTGAGTTGTTTCTTTTAACGTTTACTGTCATAATATGGTAATAATGTTCTTTGATTTGCTTGAGTTGTTTTTTTCAACGTTTGCTGTCAAATTCTATAAGTTTGACGCTTACTTGTCATAATATAGTATTAATGTTCTTTGATTTGATTGAGTTGTTTCTTTCAACGTTTACTGTCAAATTCTATAAGTTTGACGTTTATCTGTCATAATATAGTAATAATGTTCTTTGATTTCGTTGAGTTGTTTCTTTCAAATTTTGGAGTGAGAAGAATTGGCCGCGGTCGGTCGCGAACCTTTTACTTTCCATTTGGTAAAGCAAGCACACGGTCGTAAAGTCAACGATTCCGAAATTGCACAATGCATTATTTATGAGCGGAGAGCGCGTGCAATTTATGGTACCTTCTCGTTTATATATCCAGATATGTACCAATATTTGCCCATGTAAAGAATTCTATAGTGAGGGAGAAGCAATGGTAATTGAAAACCGAATAATGCAATTAAATGTGAATGGATAGACGAAAAAATGACAGAGAATGTGTGGTTATCCGGCAGTAGCAGTAGCTAAAGAGCAAATAGAAGCATATGATATGGTTATCAGAAACGCGCGGTCTCTCCGACATAGTTCATTGAAGGAATAATACCAAACGGATACAAGCGATCCATTATTGGCGCGATTCCTCCGCAGACTTTGGATGCTGAACGTCCGTCGTCCAGATGCGCGCCGCATTCATTCATTCAATACAAAATATACATTGTCTCTCTTTCACTTTCTAATGCGTTGAAATATAATTGCAGCCGTTTCCAGTCGATAAACAATAATTAAAGAGACAACGGCCACGCACGGAACGGGATCTGGACAATGAGGAGAGAAAAATGAGAACAACGCCAGAAAAGAAATAAATAATACGCAAGAACACGACGTTACATGCAAGCAACATGTCCATTATGTGCACTCGATGCATGCAGAGATGAGGAAACCCCGGTGCATGTTTCTCCGCGAAAACTTAATACCGCCGCGGTTTCGTTTGACCTTTTCGCCGAGGGAAGGAAAACGAATATCTGCGTTGCGAAACGCGACCAGTAGCCGTATTATCCTACGCTCTCGTATCTCTGTGCCAACTTTAACGTTTCTTTTCCGTGCTAAAGTTGAAGGAGGAACACGAGGAAACCGCATTCCAAAAAAAAAAAAACGCTCGTAGAAAGAATGGAAAAGAAGTTATCTCCGAAATTATCCGGCAGGCGCCACGAGGCAACGATTACCGGAAATGGCCATTACGTTCCGATGATTATCAAACAGCTACTTACTCGCATTGTTTTCCATAAAGATTACATTCTTCTTGTTTGAAACAACAACACGTCTTCCATTCCTTCGTAAGCATCCGCATTCAATTGATTCAAAAAAAAAATTTGATTACATGTGCAATTAACACCTGATTAAGATCATGGAAAGAAGGTGAGTTGCGAAAATTGTGTTCTTTGAACTGTTAGATAATGATGATTGATTGTTTAGGTTAACGATCGAAAAAGGAGCATTTCTGTTGTTTCTGGCGATAAGAAAGAACAAATCGATCGGAGGAAGCTCAAATATTTGTGTTATTGTAAGTATGCACGAGCCCTCGGGGCGTACGTTGCAGCGATCACGTAACTGGAATAAGAAACAGCTGTTCTTTCGTCTGCCTGGGCGACGAAGACACAATAACATAAGAAAGAAAAGAGTAAAGGATGATTCGATGAATCGTTTCAGGCCGCAGCGGTAAGTAAGCGCATTATACGGACACCGCGAAAGCGTGTGCATTTATTTGTTAATAGTTGTAATTAATTGGGTATTTACTTTTTTTTTGTTGAAGATCAGTATGCGATAAATTTAAAGAGCCGGATGGAACCTACATCCATGCATCACCTTAAAAACGTCGTCATGAGCCGTGAGCGTGGAATTATTTATACCTGTCGGTGTCCTTTTGGTCGCCAGAAAAGAGGAAATGTAATCTCCTACTTCGTTCCGTTACAAAGAGGTGGAGACGACGCACAAAGTAGAAATTAAAAGCGTTCACCCTCTCCATGGATTCATATGCACTTACCAACAAATCATGACATGCATTTAGCTCTCGTTATTTATAATTTCACGTGGTGCTCTCCGCCGCGTCTGATTTATCCGGGCGGTTGGAAAAACAAAACCATCGGGGAGACGCTCGTAAAGTGTACGAGATTATGACCCCACTAAATCCCTGAAATAACAGTGGGTTACGTGACAATTAAGTAGAAGATCTCTCGCTCTCTCTTGGTCCAACAACCAACCTAGTGGTGGATCAGGCCCTATGGGTCAATATTTGTTCCTTCTTTTCTTTGGGAAGATCTCCACAAAAGAACGTGAAGAAGGAGGAGGAGGTTGAGGTAATATCGGGTTTCGCTTTTGTTGGAACACTTGCTCGATCCGCGTTCGACCCCGAGGGTGTTAAACACATGTAGAATTATTGGTGCAGAGGGAATGCCCCATTTTCTTTCCAAAGTGGAGAAAAAACCGCACGACTAACATGTGGCAGACAAGTTATTGTGCGAGAAGAGACTGCATGGCAGCATCAACATAGTCTTGTTTTACTCTGCTTCCACGTATTGCACAAGAACGAAACCCATGTCGAAAAAATCATTCACATTGACAGTTGTTTACATAACATGGTCATCATTCCTTGCAATCCGATACCACCATTCGAACTAATCCCGTTTCACTTGATTTACGTCACCATTTGTTTAACATTGACATGCATAAACGTCAAAATTGGCTACGCGATAATTGACGAGTAACGTTTAATGTGTACGTTTTATAATTAACGTAATTCCAATTGATAAATGTCAATATAAAACAATTAACAACCACACGTCAAGTTAAATGACATTGAATTCAAATGTCAAAACATTAGAAATGTGACAGTAACTCGCTCCCAATTACTTTGATTCGATCAAACTCGTGAAAAGAAAAGAAAAATCTAAACGTGCCATCATTAAGTC